GGTGCCGGGAACAGACAAGGGGGTCCCTCAGACAAATGTGCTGGCAAACCTGGACAACCACATGCAGGCCCTAGCTTTCAAAACACAGAAATGTCAACTCAAAATGGATCAAACACCTAGAGATAAGACCTGTAGGAGCAAGCATAAGAGAAACATCTTAAGACATCAGTTATAGGCAATGGCTTTTTTGGATAAGATCCAAAAACAATGGGCAAGAAAAACAAGACAAATAGCATTATATTAAATTAAGAAGCTTCTGTATATACGGCAAAAGAAATAATCAACAGGGTCAAGAGACAACCAACAGAATGGGAGAAAATATCTGCAGGATTGACACCCAGAACACAGAAGAAACTCAAAAGACTCAAGAAAAACTTTTAATCCAATATTAAAACCAGGCAAATAGTCTGCACAGACATTTCTCAAAGAATTAACAGATGGTCAACAAATACATGAGAAAATGCTAAGTGTCACTGGCTACCAGGAAAATGCAAATCAGAGCCACAGTGAGGTTTTCTTTTCCATCTCAGTAGAATGACTATCACTAAATATACAAAAACAACAAATGCTGGAGAGAATATAAAGAAAAGGGGCCTTTCACACACTGCTTGTGGCAGTCTAAGTAGTACAACCATTACAAGCAGCTGCTTAACAAACTAAAACTCCATCCACCACGCAATCCAGTTACCCCTTCTGGGTGCAGAGCCAAGGGACAGGAAATCAGTATGATCAGAACGGCACAGGCACGGCCTTGTTTGCACCATTCACAAGAGCCATGACATGGAGCCAACCTAGGTGCCCGGGTTGTGGACCAAGGATACACTGTGGTATTATATACATAATGTCATTTCACCATAAACCATGAAATACTCTCATTTGATACAAAATGGAAGTAGAAAATATGATGAGAAGTGACATAAGCCAGATAGAAAAACGCACCAAATGTTTTCTGCCACATGTCGAAACTAACGGAGAAAGCTCATCTGAATGTACGATAAAGCTTAGCAGAGGCTGCCCGATAGGAGGAGAGAGAAGTTAGTTCAAATCAGAAGTTCCACTGCTCCACAGTCCAGCATGGTGGCTACGGCAGCTGGGATCACCTAGTACACACTTACTAAGTAAAGAACCAGGAGTTCAAAGGTTCCAAATTCAAAGCAATGATAAGGAGACAGAAATGCTAATTGTCATGATTTGATCAGTACACATGGTATACATATATTGAAATGGCACTCTGTGCATCATATATATGTACAAGTATATAATGTTTATCAAGAAATACATTGATCTTCATGAAGGGATGGTTGCCTGGCACAGTGACTGCTTGGGATGCCTATGTACCGGGTATCAGAGTCCCGGGGTTCAAGTGTTGACTCCACTCCTGTAAACAGGTCCCTGCCACCATGCGTTCTCGGAGCAGTGGGTGATGGCTCAGTCAGGTCTCTGTCCCCTAACCCTGCAGGAGACCTGGATGGAGTCCCCTGCTCCCAGCCATTGCCCACAATTGGGAAGTTAATCAGTAGATCAGAGATCTCTTTGTCTCTCTCTCTGCTGTTCAAAACAAACAAAAACTGTGACATATGAGAATAATAAACTTCCATATTTATTTGAAAGGCACAGAGAGTGACCAAGAGAGAGACACACAGAAATCTTCCACACAATTGTTCACTCCTCAGAAGATCACAACAGCCAGGTCAGGGTCAGGACAAAGCCAGGAACCAAACCTCCACCCTGGTCTCTCACATGGTGGCCCAAGTAGTGAACCACCTTCTGCTCCTTTCCCAGGTGCATCAGCCGGGACTGGATCACAGAGGAGCAGCTGAGCCGCCAACCAGCACTCTGATATGGGATGCCAGCAACACAACAGCAGCTTAACCTACTAGGCCACAAGGCTGTTCCCCCTCCCCCTCCTGCCCCCAAAACTTTTAAATGCTAGTAATTTTTTTAATATATCTTTGTTAAGTGGGAAAATACATGTAGTATGGTAAAAAAAAATGAACATTACAAAAAGTAATATATACATTTTGTAATGCCAAATTGTCTAATGCAGTTCACACTTTTGATTATTTCTATTTATGCTGCCAAGAATACACCAACCGGGCCCGGCGCGGTGGCGCAAGTGGTTAAAGGTCCTCGCCTTGCACGCCCGGGATCCCATATGGGCGCCGGTTCTAATCCTGACAGCTCCACTTCCCTTCCAGCTCCCTGCCTGTGGCCTGGGAAAGCAGTCGAGGACGGCCCAAAGCCTTGGGAACCTGCACCCGCGTGGGAGACCCGGAAGAGGCTCCTGGCTTCGGATCAGCATAGTATCGGCCCGTTGCGCTCACTTGGGGAGTGAATCATCGGATGGAAGATCTTCCTCTCTGTCTCTCCTCTCTGTATATCTGCCTTTCCAATGAAAAAAATAATAAAAATAAATCTTAAAAAAAAAGAATACACCAACCAAGTGGCATTTTCCCCTAAAGCACACACACACACACAAAAAAAAGCCCATGCAACATTTAAGTTTTATTTATTTGAAAGGCAGAGAGACAGAGAGAGAGAGTCATCTTCATTCACCAGCTCACTCCCTCAAACACACCACTGCCAGGTCTGGCCCAGTCTACAGCCAGGAGCCAAAAATATCCCTCATAAGCGGCAGGATAAAAGCCATCAAGCCATCTTCCACTGCTTTCCCAGGCTGATGAGCAACAAACTGGAATGCAAGCAGAGCAGCTAAAACTCCCGCACACCTCCCACCACCCTCTGCCAACACAGAACGCCAATGTTGCAAGCGGTGCAGTTTAATCCACTACACCCCAACGCAGTCTCTCACAAATCACATTGCACTTATAAAAGATTCTAATACATGTTAGGCTTACTTTACTAATACATGTTAGGCGAGTGCAGTTACCATCACAGTGGTTTTGTTATTTGTGGGAGAAGAAAGGCCAAAAAGGGAGCTCACACCCCTTTCATAGTACGAGGACTCAGCCAGAAAGGACCTTCTATGACCCACACAGCAGGCCTTAACCCCACTGCGCACGCGCGCACACACACACACACACACACACACACACACACTCTCTCTCTCCCTCTCTCTCTCTGCAGGCATCACGTGTCTGCAGGTTCCAGTCTCCAGGCAGTGAGAAACCCTCTGTTGTGTGCACACCACCTGATCTAAAGGATTTCATTACAGCGGCCCTGTTTGGGACACACTGAGGATTGTTGAACTCAGGGGACAGGGAGAAAAAGGGACCAAAGGGACCAGCCGTTTGCTGAGGGTTCTGGGGCAGGAGTAGTTCTACAGGCTTTAGGGAAGCCTCGTTTGTTCCCTGCTATCAACACATTCATCAGGTAGATACTATCTCCCTTCTATAGAGGAGAAAAAGGAAAGCAGCAGAAAATGACGCCCTAGGCCAAGGGGCGGAACTGGGAGTCAAACTCAGTCGGCCTTCCTGGTCACCACATTGCACAAAGACAACCTTCCAAATGACATTAAAAATGGATGCTGGCGATTTAAATATGTTTAATGCCTTCATGGTTACTATTTAAAACACTTCAACAAATGGCATACATCCAACTGCACCCAAGACATTTTGGGAGCGTCACAGTCAACCAAAAAAACAAAAACAAAAACAAAAACAAAAAACCAACCAGGGATAGAGGACCAGTTAAAGGCCAGACTGAGCGTCAGAAAGTTTCATGTCAGATTGATCACACATGCACGATGACCCAGAGCAATTTCTTTAAAGTCTCTTTATCTACATCCCTGAAAAGACCATACCACAGATTATTCCAGAAAATGCAAAATCAATGCTACTGAAATCCATGTCCTAACAAAAACAAATTACAGGTGCAAGCAAGCACTGGCCTAGAGGTGAAGCCCTGTGGCCTCTCTTAGTGCCTGGACCCCATGCGTGTAACCGAAGTGGCAGGGCAGACCCGAACGCTAGCTTCCAGCTAATGCAGCCAACGGTGATAATTCGGGTTAGCCAGGTAGCTGAAGCCCCTGGGGAGGAGCCTGAGTGGCGGGTTCTAGGCTTCAGCCAGCCCAGTTTGGGCTGTTGCATGCAAGCAGGCAGGTGCTAGGGAGGGCGCTCTCCGCCCCGCCCCCTCTCAAATGAATAAGTAAAAATTAAATGAAACGGAACAAATTAGGATGTATACAAGTAATTGCTATCTCTCCCGTGAGATGGCTCTAGTGAATGAATGGTTATTTTCACGGAAAACAACTTGGCACAGAATAGGAAGCTGCTCCCAGGCCGTCTCCGCAGGCGCCCCTTGACAACGGCAGGTGCAGCTCCAACGGGAGAATTGTCAACCAGCTTTGCAACCACCCCAGGGCCTTGCTGGAGCCGGCCGCGATCCTCTGCAGGTGCGAGGTCCCGGGGAAGCCTCCTTCCCCCCAACACACCCACCCACACACACACCCTGCCGCGGGAGGATCGCGTCCCTCATCAAAGGAAAGACCACTCCCGCCCCCGCGTCCCTCCGCAGGGCCGAGGTCAGACAGAGTCCTGCCTCCGGGAGAGGGAGAGAGCACGCCGAGCCCAAGAGGACGACGGCGATCACCTGTCAAGCCAGAGGCGGGGAGGGCGGCTCCCGCTCGTGCACTTCGGACATTCCAGAAGCCTCGACCCGCGCCGCCGGGAGCGGTCCACTTCCCGCCCCGCAGAGGCCGGAGGGCAGCCCCCCACCCACCGATGGGCCCGTGTCACGCGCGGGGTCTCTGACGCCCCAGCTCAGCGCGCCGGCCAGGCCCAGACCCCCGCCAGCCCCACCCTCCGACCCCTCTCAGGGGACCCGTGGGAGCTGACGAGCGGCCCCCCGCTCCCTTCCCCCAGCAACGAACACACACCACCGCCCCGTGCCTCACGCCCAGGTGAGGAGAGGCAAGTCCGTGGCAGGGCGTACCCCGCCGCCATTTTGTACCCCGACCCCCGCAACGCTCGCTCCCAGCCCGAGTCCCCGCCCGGGGCCCGCCCGGACCTGCCCGACGCGCGCCCCTCACGGACACTCACCCCCGGCCACCCGGCCTGCGCAGCTCGGGGCGGCTCCGAGCGTCCCGCCGGGAAAGGGGCGGGCCGGGGCGGGGCGGCCATGGAGGGGCGGGGAAGCTGTCCGGCGCGCCACGTGACCGCGGCACCTCTCCACCCCCCCGCCGCCCCGGCTGCCGTGCGCAGGCGCAGCACGTTTCGCGCCGCTGGGGACGCCGAGGCCGGGGACGCCGTGAGGGCCGCGAGCGGTTCCGTCCTCGTCTCGCGTGTAGCAGACCGAATGTCTGTCCCAGCGCTGCCTCCTACTTGACGCTCGCCCCGCCGCGAGGCGTCTGCCTGAAATGCAGGCTCCTCCCTCCGCCTGTGTTATCGCCTCAGATTGAAGACCGAGAGGTCGCCTCACACAAATCTGTAGTGAGGAGAGAAGGAAGAGCGCCTGAGGAAGCGGCGGCAGTTGGCGGGGGCCCAGGCTGCGGCGGCTCTGAGGGACAGGGGCTGGACAGATGGGTGCCCCAACTTCAGAAAGTCCCCAATCACTGTCGCCTAGCAAAATCGAAAACAGTCAGCGCAAAGCATCCATGTGGAAGGGACGTTGCCAGTCGCTTTGGGGCCCCGTCCTTGCCCCTGTGACCCCACAGCTCGTGGGAACTCACAGACCCCGATGGACTTCCACCTCACAGCTGGGAAGGGAAGGACTGCGAGGTGGATCAGGTTCTGGCTCAGTGGAAAACTCACTGCTTCTTCAGTAGCTTCTGCACCGTTTGTTAGGCATCTCTGCTGTCTCGGGGTAGCGTGGTGATAAGAAGGTGATAGCCATCATCAACAATAAAGTACATGGGCAGTCTCTGTGCTCTTGATTTCTCATATATAAAATGTGTATTTCCAATCCTGATTTCTGCTCCTGTAATCGAGGTTGGCGCGATTAACTACGTCCCAGTTATTTCCACTTGGATCTCTCAAAACTCAAAATGACCGTGAGAGGAAGAGCTCCTCTCTCTTAGCTATAAATAAAACTGCTTAATTGAAGGACAACTTATATTCTACACTATTCACTCATTTAAAGTATGCAAACGCAGTCATCACCGTGATTTAAAACCTTCAGAACACCTCTGAAAGAAACAGTTATCCCCTCATTTTCCCACAGTACCTTCCACAGGCTGGAAATATGTACAGACTGGCCTCTTCTGTATATTTCACATCAAGGGAACGGGCGGTCTGGTGTTTTGGCACTGCCTTTTCCCTTAGCATAGCTGTACGGTGCAGCCAGTGATAGCCAGCACCTTTAACAGTGGGCAGATGGAATATGGCTGTATCCCCCACCCTCTGTTCACTGCTTGGGTGAGTCAGTGAAGATGTTAATGTGCTTTATATTTCTAAATATACTTTCAAAATAGTTCCAGGAAAGGTGGGGCATGACAATAATGAAATGTCGGGCTCGGCAGCATGGCCTAGCGGCTAAGGTCCATCGCCTTGAACGTGCCGGGATCCTATATGGTCGCCAGTTCTAATCCCGGCAGCTCCACTTCCCATCCAGCTCCCTGCTTGTGGCCTGGGAAAGCATTAAGGGATGGCCCAAAGCCTTGGGACCCTGCACCCGTATGGGAGACCTGGAAGAAGTTCCTGGATCCTGGCTTCGGATCGGCATAGCATCAGCCGTTGTGGTCACTTGGGGAGTGAATCATCGGGGGGAAGATCTTCCTCCCTGTCTCTCCTCCTCTCTGTATATCTGGCTTTCCAATAAATAAATAAATCTTAAAAAAAAATAATGAAATGTTAATTTCACCTTTAGAGAGGAAGCCCTCAGTGTCTCCCACCCCTCCCTTCTTGCCTCCCGTTACTGAAGTTTATCAGAAGCTTTGTGTCGCATGATAAAACATTGTACTGTGCACTTTTCAAACTAATTGGAGGGGGAGAGCTTAAAAACTCCCGACTTTGGCAGTTCGGGGCAGTGGCTCCTGGAGTGTAGCGGGAACTGCTGTCGCCAAGCCTGGGAAATAAAGACTCCTCCTGTCATCCTGCCCTTGGGTCCAGTGTGATCTCTCGCATCCCGCAACAAGCATAGCATTCTGTAGGGATAGCCACAGTGTAGTATGTTTCAAAATGTCTGTTCATAGCTGAGTACTTCATTTAATATATACCACTTTTCATTCAGTCATTCATCCATCAATAGACATTTAGAATATCTCCACTTTTTGCTTTAACTCCCTTCAACTGGGCTTCCAAAGTGTTTTATACAATTTCTGATCATGGGGGCCCAAATGCAATGGCTAAATGGCTAAATCCTCACCTTGCAAGTGCCGGGATCCCATATGGGTGCTGGTTCGTGCCCCACATACTCCGCTTCCAATCCAGCTCCCTGCTGACAGCATGGAAAAGCAGTGGAAGACACCCCAAAGTCTTGGGACCCTGCTCCCACGTAGCAGACCGAGAAGAGGTTCCTGGCTTTGGATTGGCTCAGCTCCAGCCGTTGCACTCATTTAGGCAGTGAACCAGCAGATGGATCTTTCTGTAACTCCTTCTTTCAGTAAATCTACCTTTCCAGTAAAAAATAAGTAAACCTTAAAAAAAAAGAGGTATATAGTAACACTGGAACTGGAAAATAGTGACCTCCTTTCTCCTTTTCTGGAACTGTACCATCCAGTAGATAACCACTTGACACATCTAGGTATTCAAATTATAATAAGCTAAGTTAGAAAAACCAAATTTCCAGTGATCAGCAGCCTCATATAGCTGATGCCTACTGTGCTAGACAGCACAGATAAAGTTTCCATCTTTCCAGAAGTTTCTATACCTAAAGCAAACTAGAGACACCATTTCGGTATTATGTTAACAAAGAACCGCAGACTTGGTGACTTACAAACAGACGTTTTATTTCATTTTCCTTGAGGCTGACGAGTCCAAGGTTAGAATGCCAGCAGATTTGTGCCAGGTGAAGGCCTACTTGTTGTCTCACAGGCAATGGGCTTCTTGTTGTGTCTTTACATAGTGAATAGGCAAGGGAACCTGACTGATGTGAGTTATAGGGGTCATTCTTTCATTTGTGAGGTCGCTATCCTCATGACCTAACTACTTCCAAAGAGCCTTCCTACTTCCTAATTAATCACATTGGGACTTAGGGTTTCAATTTTAGGGGCATAAACACTAAGCCTACAGAAGATTTCCACTATTATATCCCCCCCAAAAAAGGTACACGGTTGTTCTTCCTAGTCATTTTGCTTAGTATGAGAACATGACCATGGAAGGTAATACAAGGCAGAATCCTGACCTTGGCCTGCCAAGTAGAATCGTGCTTTCTCCTAATCATTTAGGAACACTTGTTGTTAGTTATTTTAAAAAGGTATACAGGGCCCGGCGCAATGACGCAGTGGTTAAGGTCCTTGCCGTGCACGCCCGGGATCCCATATGGGCACCGGTTCTAATCCTGGTGGCCCCGCTTCCCATCCAGTTCCCTGCCTGTGGCCCAGGAAAGCAGTCAGCAGTCGAGGACGGCCCAAAGCCTTGGGACCTGCACCCGCGTGGGAGACCCGGAATAGGCTCCTGGCTTCGGATCGGCATAGCATCGGCCATTGCGCTCACCTGGGGAGTGAATCATCAGATGGAAGATCTTCCTCTCTGTCTCTCCTCTCTGTATATCAGCCTTTCAAATAAAAAGAAATCTTAAAAAATAAATAAATAAAAAGGTATATAGTTCTAGTTCGTATGATATTGCGATTCCAGGAACGGGGTGGAGGTGGTGGAGATCAGTGGGGAGGAAAAAAGGGAGAAAAGTAGGAAAAAGGGAGAGATGGAGGCACCTGAGGCCCCTTTATGTTCAGGCAGGCCTGCAAGGTGTGGGAGGCAGGATTGAGAGGGATTGAGGGCAGGCCCCAGGGGATTGGTGCCTGCAGGTGAATGCCTAGGGATGATTGGTGAGTGGGCAAGGATGGGGAAGGGGCTGAAAGATTGGGGGTGGGTTTCTCAGGTGGAATGCCAGGGTACATCTGATTGGTCCACAGAAGATGCTGAGAGAAGGCTGGAGGACACTAGAAGAGAAGCTGAGGATTTCTCCCTTTCTCTCCCACAGGCATCATCTCCAGTGCTCAATGAAGCTTCTACATGGCTTTGGCTCCCACTGGAAAGCTCCTGTTCCGGCTCTGGATTTTGCCTGACAGCCTTGGCCTTGAGGTTCTAGCGGAAACACCTCTTGTTCACCAGAGGATGGATCTTGTGCAATGTTTGGTTTAAGTGTAGTGATTACCACTTCACAGGTGGAAAATGAAACTCTAGCGATCTGTGGCAGACAGTGGTACCATAACAGAATAATAAATATATGCAATTGGTTGAAATGAAGACTCAGTTGGAGGTAAAGAAATTGGAAAATTTGGAAGTGCTGTTAGTGCCGTTATTGCCATGTGTTATCTATGTTCATTGCAAGGACTTTGGAGTAAACTGACAACTTTGGAAGCATCACAAAACTTAAAGAAAGAAAAAATAAGCTGCAAGCTGTAAATGCTCAACACAAAGTTTGATTTAAAAAAAAAAACTGTAGGGCCCGGCGCGATGGCGCAGTGGTTAAAGGTCCTCACCTTGCACGCCCCAGGATCCCATATGGGCGCCGGTTCTAGTCCTGACAGCTCCACTTCCCATCCAGCTCCCTGCTTGTGGCCCGGGAAAGCAGTCGAGGACGGCCCAAGGCTTTGGGACCCTGAACCCGTGTGGGAGACCTGGAAGAGTCTCCTGGATCGGCATAGCATCGGCCATTGCGCTCACTTGGGGAGTGAATCATCGGACGGAAGATCTTCCTCTCTGTCTCTCCTCTCTGTATATCCGCCTTCCCAATAAAAATAATAAAAATTTTAAAAAATACGCACACAGATATGCAGTATGGATTTCCTGCTGATCCTAAATGGAGCCGCTCAAAACATTGCAAGGGTTTGCTTGGTTGACAAACTAACATTCAGTGATGCAGACATGCTAAGGACATTCCTCACATAAGATGGAGATGGCGAGGCAAAGGAATCTATACAAAAGAGTCACTGTTCTAGGTGTATTGGAGTAGAGGTTTCGGACTATGTTTCCCAGAAA